TGTGAATCCACGCCCTTTCTACTGCTTGTGACATCATCAGTTTTGATTGTCAAGGATAACTTTGTCCACTAACTTGTGCTGGGTGAAGACATCTTTCAAAACATACCAAAATGTCAATGAGCACAAAATTTCAGATGCCAAGGACATCAGAGAAAAATCATGTAACATTGACCTGAAACTTTCCATGAAAATCTTGTTCCACTACCCACCTACCTTTCCTTTCATCTAATCCTAAAATCCTAAAAGCTTTCCTAAAAACGTTTCCCAACAAAATGAAGCCTACAAGAATAATGTCCAGCAAGAGAAAAAAAAGGAGGCAAGAAAAGCTAAAAAAGAGGGGAGGAGAGAATTCGAAAAGTAACAGTCAATGACTTCTGTTTCACTTTTAAACCCAAACACTATCTAGAAATTTTACTTTGTGTCCATGCCCGAACTTTGCAAGCTAATATTTTGCATCTGGATCAGAAGGCACCAAAGTTTTTTGAGCTGTTAATGGCTTTGTGGTAAATAGCTCTTTATAGCACGACAGTGAGACCAGAAAACCGCCCGACTTCCTTCAAAAAGTGTCTTTTGGCAAAATCTCCAGGGGAAAATGGGCTAAGTCTTGTCCTTTGGAGCTGAATTCTTTGAATAGTATTTTATTCTAGTAATCAGGGCTGTCACTAAGATTTCAAGTTGCTGAGGACTTCTCCATTTTTTAGGCATGGATCCCAAGCACTTACTTTTATTTGGGGGAACACACTGTCAAAATTTTGACAATTAAAGGAGATTGCAATTTTCAGGAATTACGTTTTTGTCACTGAATTTCTTTGGCTGCGTGAGCCATCATTGCCATTTGCATCATCGCAAAATAGTCAGGGGTGTTTGTGCTTGACTTTCTGAGATGGAGTGTAATTAGTATAGTTTTAGAATTCTAAAAATCTCAGGAATGTTTTTCTTATAATATCGCATTTATAGGTGCTCATTTTATAGTGGATAATTCAGAGCCCTTGAAATTCCTTTGCAAACTTGAACAACATTTCCACAGGTAAAAAAAAAATAATATCATAAGAACATAATTTTAGAATTCTCCCCATTATACTACTACAGGAAAAATTTCTGCAATTTGATTGGCTCAGAGCAGTGGTATTTCAGCTTAATTTGAAATACCTACATGTGAAAATTACAAACCTTTTGTGGGTAGTAGTATAAACAAATAATAGCAGGAATTGTACGTGATATTTGGCATAAATACCACTCTGGATATTTCAAAATTGTCTCAAATTTCACTTGCCTAACAGCTCATGAATTTAGTATAACAATTTTGAAATATCACTCGTGGTATTTATGCCAAATATCACTACAAATCATGCTATTACCTATACAAACATTACAAACCCAGAAGGGCTTGAAAATATTTCCATAGTTTCTCTAGACACCAACAAGCAGCCGTTACTTAAGCACAATCCCAAAGCTCACAGTTCTCGTGTAGCACACACTTATTTATAGTCATAATATTTTTCATCAGTACCTACAGTGTATTTCCAAGCTCAACAGCAATTCAGCTTCACTTTTCTGACCCACATAGGATGCCTTACAGATAGATTTTCAATTGCACATTTTACATTCTTTGAGCTCAAATTTTACTGCACAGGAAACATTAGAAACCTTGCACTTTAAGTCCTGAGAATCAATGTGACAGATGGGCCTTCATAGCTCAGTGGGTTTTCAAGTCAACTTTGTGGCTTGCCCAGTGAAAATTAATGCTAGCTCTTGGAGTTTGGCTAGTGGCTTTTCACTCCCTGAACTTGGGGTTTCTCTGTTAGGTGGCAGATAATTCAGTGAAGTGTTTTCCTTCACTTTTTACCAGAGAGTTGCTGTTTGAATGCTCCGACCACAACAAAACAGCAGTTCATGAACCTGTAATACTGGAAAAAATTGTCTTTAACTGGGGTTAGATGGCTATCAAAATAAAAGAGTGACTGATGCATTGTGGACATAAAATACTCCACTTTTGTATCCTAGGCAATAAAGATGCTGTTTGAGGTGGGCAGCTAGATCAGTAAAGCCACTGAAGGAAGATGCAGATAATATAACCTTTATATGATGGGGGTTATGAGTGGTGATTGCCTTCGCAAACAATTGAAATTCTGTCATCAGAGTTTAAAATCTCTAAAGTGTTTTCTAATAGTCATGATCAGGACACTTGTGCTGAACTAAAGCATGATATTGGGATCGATCAAGATCCCTTTATTTTCTGATCAATAACAATCTGTCATCATCTGACTCAAGTATGATCACTAACACTATAATGGACAATACAATGTTGCTACCAAAAATCAAAATTTGAGATGATAATTTGAAAATTTCAACTTTTGTTTATTTAATTAAGAAACAAGGTCTCTCGGGAGTTTTTTGCTATAGATGAGAAAACAAAACAACAACAAAAAAAAACTGCAAGGAAGAGCAACTTTTCTATTACAGCATGAATTCACACTGTCCCGTAACAGTGTCATAATAAATGCTCAAATCGGGGCTGCTGAAGGCCATTCAGATTGGAGAATGTATTGTTGTTATAATTACAATAAGTCTAGTAATTACCACCCTTTTACTTATAGAGTTGTATATAATGGAGATTTAAATAACTTTTCTGTCTGTGGATGAAATCCAATGGTCGATGTCACCATTCAAATGAAACCTTCTTGGCTCCTCTTTTGCATGGTGCTATCTGTTTTTGGTATGTAACAAAATAGAATAATTTTTTTCTAAAAGTTCAAGCTCTTTTGATAGTGAAAGGGTTAAATAAACAGTTAGTAGCAAAATTATAGCTTCTTGCTTATCCATAAGCTCAAAGTTGTTGAGATTTTTCAGCAAATACATGTAGATTACAGAAAATTCGTTTGAAAAAAGAGGAGCATTTTTTCAAGAAGAAAAATACATTTAATAGTTTAATATATACTTTTTCAAGAATTAACATCATAGTGAATAAGATTTGCTGCTTAAGTAATAGCAATATTTTCAGGTGAAACTCCTTAAAAAAAATTCCAAGAAGAATAATTTCTAGGTGTTTCTGCCCTTGTAGCATAACGTATGGCTAAAAATGAAACTTGTAAGTAGCAACTTGATTACGAATTTTTTGTTAACTTTCCGTATGATTTTAAGTCTGGATTATAATAAAATTCGAGCAATTTTTCGTTGTCTTTTTCTGCTGGTGTTTAATTTTTAAGTTCACCCGGATGAGTGTTTATTCACTTGTCTTTCCTGATCTCTTTCACGGTGTCTCACTCTCCTTCAAATCAGCGTCATTTCTAACAAAGTCGGGGTACTGGAACGAGGAGAAACTGTCGAGACTTGGGGAAATAATAATAATAATAATAATAATAATAATAATAATAATAATAATAATAATAATAATAATAATAATAATAATAACGAATATTTATACAGGATAGCCCTTCAGTGCAAGAACACTGTTATGAAAGGGGTCCTGTAAACCAAAAAGGAATTCAATTGAAGGCCCGGGATATTGATCAGAGAGGAACAATTGCTTTACATCATCATACCTCTGGGCAAAGTGTGAATCTTTAAATACTACCGAAATCAGTAGCTATTAACAACCCGGGAAAAACCCCGATCGTTCGTGAACAAACGCATACATTCCCCATGATCTTGACACGCATTAGGGCTCAAAAAGGCTTTATCAAGTGCAAAGGCGAGGCTGCGCTATTCAATTCGAATACGGGGAGGCTCCGCCCGAAGTTTAACCCCTTGACCTTTTATCCGGGCTTTTATACCATTTTGAAAGAAAACGTACCCCTTTCATATCCCTTTTATTGACAATTGGTTCCCCTTCCACAAGCCTAGTTTAGAACTTAAAATTTCCATCCCTTTTAACTGCTGTAAATGCACTGTCTTAAACATATGAATAAATCACAAAACCAGGCGTTTTCTCGACTATGTCACAGTCTGAAAAGCATCTGTTAGCCCTTTTGGGCCTTTTTACCGACGTCTTGGGCCTTACCGGGGGTACTTATTTATAAAAGCCATGATACGTGTCACCCTGGCGAAGGAGTTAACCGAAATATACGGCTCGCATCCTGTTATTAAAAACTCGATTGGTCAACTGTAGCTTGGTAAGCCACAAAATAATAAAAACTTCCTGTTGGTAATTAGCCCGTGTGGCAGGCGTTCGAAAGGGAAGGAAAAGGGGAATCTGGGCTCGAGGAAGTCGAGGAAGGAGGGAACGTCCAGCCTGCCACGCAGGCCCGGCACGCAGGCTAGTTGGCAATTTGCCTGTTTATTTATATGTGCTCTGTTAAAAAAACAAAAATAAAATAAATGCGCCTTATTCGAGCGCCAATTTCAGTGTATTTGTCACGAAAGTACTAAAATTGAGGACATTTCTCTTTGATTTATATGTGCTCATTTTCATAGCCAATGTACAGACGCCCCCTCCTCTCAAAAAAAAAAAAAAACAATCGGGGAGAGAGCCTGTCAAATTTTTTTCCAGGAGAGGGGGCTTCTGTACACTGGCTATTATTAGCGACTTTAAGATGCCACGATGGTTATGACAACGAGAACGTCAAAAAAGCAATAGGTTGAATAGGCAAAACAATCCTGCACGCTTGTACATTTCTTTTCCGTCACTTCACGACTACGACGGGAAAATGCCTACTTTCACGTTTTACGGGAGGACGTAAACAGACGACAGCTTAAGTTTCTTTCTCTTTCTAAACTTGAATATGAGTAAATGAGTTGGAGTAATCGGGACAGAGATGCAAGCACGCAAATTCACTTTTCAAGCAACATTTTCGTCGCCGTCGCCGTCGCCGTCGTCGTATCTTAAACTCCCTATTTTCTAATGAAGAACGGTGTACGTGACTCTGAAAATTTGACCAGTGCAACACGAGAAAGTAAGAATAACTGAAGGTAGGTCAAAATCCTGGGTAGCTTCACGTCAGTTGTCATATCAACCATGTATTTTCCGACAAAGATAAATTTATGCTGGCAACTTTCCCACAAACGTTCGTCTTTGTGTGGCTGTGAAAGAAAGAGATTGTGGAGCTGAAGAAATGAAACCCTTAAACACCTCAAGATCTCATCGACTCCTTGATTTTGTTCCATCTGTTAGGCCATCGTTTCTTTCTGTGATGTTAATTTTTGTTTGCGGATGCCTCTGGGTGAAGAATACGACAATCAACGAACGACTTGTCCAGCTGGAATCTCGCATTCACTGTTTTTCCTGCGTTAAGAGTATTTCTATCGAAAATCTTGACAAGATGACTCTCTCGCCGGCAAAAGATACCGCAAAAGATCTTTACAAAAATATGCAGACACATGTTTCAGAAGGGATCGCCTCTAACTCAGGTAAAATCGATGCTTTAGGTATGATTATCCTCTCTCATAGATGTCGTAGTTTGACTGAGATAAACTTCCGCTATTACGGACTCTCGTTAATAAAGAGGACACTAACTCGAGGTCCCTATAGTCTCCGCTATAAAGGTACAGTGTTCTCCCTAAATTTTAGCTCAGCGGGTAAGGGATCATTGATGCCCGAGAGGTTGCACTTTCCTAGGGAGGAATGGGGCTAGTGGAGTGAGAGACATGGCCTCACCCTAGGAGAAGCCAAGTTCTTTGAAACGTCATTCCCTCATTTTAAGACCTCTTTTACGCAAATCGGCCGTTGATATCTTTAGACAACAACTTAAAACGTTTGCTCCCAATAAGTTTACTCTGTATTCACTGTTTTCTTTCCAAACTGCGTGGCCCATAAAAAGAAAAGCTTGTGTATACTTAAGCACTTTTCCATATATTCATTCATTTCCTTGATCGGATCGGATTGCACCTTGCGTATTGTACCGGTTACCGTCTGATAAGGAGAACGCTGATTTAGGTAGTTGACTGTAGTTCGCCTTTTGAAACAAGAAACGATTGGTATTATCTTTAACAGAGACATTTATTTCCTCAATGTATCCCTCCCCCAACCCCTCTGCCCCTGGCAAAATATAGCATGACAGTATAACGTGACTGATATAATTTAGCCCGAAATTCCAAAAACTATTGTCGTTCTACGCTAACAAAACAAGACAGGGTCAATTTTGGTGTTTAAAACACTGTTCAATAACAGTAACTCTCTGTTCCCTAAAAACTCGCAAAGAAAATTAAGTTTCAGTTTTCACATTTTTGTCGGATATTGCATTTAAAGCCCTTCTAACTATCCAAGTGAATATGTTTCTATTTGACGGGGCGATCCACAAATAGCATTCCTTTCTTGTCATCTTGTAAGGAAAGACTTTTCACTCGCAGGGAGAGTATTCCATCAAATTGAAGCTTTTCCGTGGGAGGGGAGGGGACCTTGGGAGGGCATTTTTTTTGCTCCAGCGCAAGCTAACAACATCATCGACTCCTGTATCTAGATAATCATTGGGCGTAGATATAGGGGGAAAAATAACTCCACGCAATTTGTTTTGTTCGCTCCAATTCGACTTCCATTTCTGTTTGCAAGACGACCTGAAATTACCGGTCCCCTCCCTGCAAATATCGGCCCCATTGAAGAGAGAGTAGGACGCAAAGCCTTCTGGGAGATCCATCGGCCATTTCTTGATTGGGCGTTGCCCTCACGGGCAGCACAATAATAACAAAAGTGCCTATTGTTTATGCCTTGTTCTGTCTTTCTTTCTTGATATAAGACGGTGATAAGAGGCCTTACGATCACAATAACAATATAACAATCCAAAAAGAAATGCGAAGTAATTCACACGAAGAGCTACGAAGTAATTACAAACTAGAAACCTCTCCTTGAGGATTGTCTGAACGAAGAGAGGAGAAACTATTGGTCTAATTAAGCGGTTTTAAACCGATAGTTTCTCCTCTTTTCGTTCACGACAGTCCTCAAGGAGAGGTTTTTTTTTTCAAGTTTTCTTTACGGTAATATATAATACTTCTAGTTTGCAATGACTTCGTGTGAATTACTTCGCATTTCTCTTTGGATTTTTATTGTGATCATAAGGCCCCTTATCATTGTCTTATATTAAGTAAAAAGCATTGGAGTTAATTTTTTGATGCACCAAAAAATTTATCGCGGGTCTTAATGATCCCTTTTCCTTCCCTTTCGGACGCCTACCACGTGGGTTAGGTCCAGGTTAGGTCTAACAAAAAATAGTTTACTTTAAAGCTTTTTTAGACAGCAATGCGTGCTTAATCTGTACAATTTAATTAAGGATTGACTGCAAAGGATAAAGTTTCAAAAGTTAGTGTGCTGTAAGGACCTGTAAGTGGGCCAAAACGTAGCCTAACAACGTCTGCTCAGGAAGTTTGTGTATTGAGTAGAAAACTAGACTGTGTTATAGCGAGTAGGAAATAAGACCACCCCAGCCCCCTAAAGATACAATTGTAACTTAAGGAATGATGATGGGTAATAGAACGCACGAGGTCTGTCTTGTTGTGCGAGTCCCGCTCCATATTGGTGTTTTGTCTCGTAGTTTTGCAATGGGAAAATAGCGCCCGCCTGTCCCCGGCCAGTAACAATAGGCACAGGTTGAATCAAGAGCGAATGAGCTTCTCTTGCTTGAATACAGTAATTTGTTGTCTAAAACATGTGCCAAAACAGGATTCATAGTAAGAGGGGAAGTAATAACGCACTAATTTCCACAAGAACATTCTGAATGAAAAAAAAAAGAGGAAAACTACCTACCTGACTTTGATCAGTAGGTCTTGTTCTATCAAAATCCGCTATCAAACCTTTTCTGACCCGATCATTGTACGAAACCCCTCTTTCAGGGTCCTGGCTTCCGGACTAGAAAAGAAGAAAGAGGATTGTTGACCTCGTTTAGACGTACTTTGTTTCTTTTGCTTCAATTATCCATTTGCACATCTCCCATAATACACTTTGTTTGCCCTCTAAAATTTTGCGTAACCTTGGCATTTAATTTCTCCTGGGTATTACAGTCGTTACAAGAGAAATTGAAGACAATCTTTACGCAAAAAATTTCGTGGGGCAAAACAAGGTGTACGTGTTGCACGTTTTACCGGCTCAACGCAAACTTGTTTTACAGCAAGTGACGTAACCTCCGTGAATGGCGTCACCTCCGGGTAATGTTATTCAATCAAACAAATTGAACGTGGGTGATAAAACGTGCGACATCGCTTTTCAACTCCTGTTGCGGCAATGTTTCGAAACAAGTTGCACGTTTTTGTTGCTTGTTTTATCGTAGCTTTACTGACCCGGTGTTTCTTTCTCGTAAACACTTCCATTTATGGAAGGGATCGTGTCATTTCCACTCACTCTATGCTGGTGTCAGTAACTAACCTAATAACTTGGTTTTAATTTCGAAGGAACCTTTTAATACGTACAACCTTGTTAAATTTATTTGTTTAATATACAACATTTTTTACTGCAGTTGTACCGTTGTCAAAAATGGCACTTACAACCGTCCGACCAAGAAACCGAAGACACGTTTTAAACGACACTTCAGCTAGTATAACATTACAAGACGTGAGGAAAGAAATCACAAAACAGTTTCAACAACTTATGCCCCTCAAGTACTGTACATCAAGTGAGAAAGTATGCCCCGCAGGTCCCCCTGGACTTCCTGGTCCCACTGGGGCAAAAGGACCCCGTGGTAGGAGGGGGGCAAAGGGGAAAAGGGGGCCTCAAGGTCCCATAGGACCACCTGGAAAATCCGGAAAAACAGGAATGACGGGTCCTGCAGGGCCGAGAGGAGAAAAGGGAGACAAGGGAGAGCCTGGCCCGAAAGGTATGTCGGGACCACCAGGAATACCCGGGAAATCTATATCTGCTCCACAAGTAATGTTGTCACCGGCAGAACAGACACGAGATGAAGGAACAAATACGGCTTTTTATTGCACAATTGGAGGAAATCCTCCCCCTACCGTCGAATGGCGATTCAAGGGCAGAAAACTTCTGTCAGGTGCAAAGTATCTGATTAAAAAGGGAGAGTTGATCGTTAAGAATCTGAACTACAGCGATGCTGGGCAGTACACATGTCACGCCAGGAACATTCTTGGTTCGTCTGAGGCCAGTTGTAATTTATCTGTTCGAGGTAAGCTCAGAGAATAATTGAAACTTCAGAATTTTTCACACTCAGCTGCTTAGTGATGAATATTTTTATGTCTATAAAGGGTGTTGACTGGGTCATACCTTTGTTTGAGATTTGCTGGTAATCTTTTCCCTTTTTGCTTTCACTTTCTTTTTTCTTTCTTCCTTTTCTTCTGTTTATTTGTTTGTTTTGTTTTTTTTAAATTCATTTTCGTCTCACTTACAATAATTTGTACAAGCAATAATATAGAAGCTTCGTTGTCCAGATGCTCGCAATTGTTTTCTTTTCGTTGTTATACATATCATTTTCAGTATTCATCTTCTCTGTCAGGTCTTCCAGTCTTAACAAAGGTTCCACCTTCGCCCGCCACGCCAATGCAACGCAGCATCTTTCAAGCAGTTTGTCAAGCTGAAGGATTCCCTCTTCCCGTTATAAGCTGGAGAAGAGTTGGAATGCCCTTTCCAGGTGGAAGAACTGAAGTAAACCATGGTACACTAACCATTAAAAACTTGATTCTTGCTGACAGCGGTTTGTACGACTGCATCGCGACGAACGCGATGGGAACAAAGAAGACCAGAATCAACTTGGTAGTGCAACGAAAACTCGTAAGCTCTATATATTCAGCACAAAAAGGTTCGTGAGTTCTGCTAATCAATCTTAGATGTTCATTTTCATGTAGGAACTTAAGCCGGATATTATAGTGAACAAATGAATAACATAAAAACACTGATTGTAGTCTTTAATTCAGCAGGTGTTTCAAAGAGGGTCTGATTTTTTTTTGTGATGTTACGCTGCTCCCGGAAATTTTCCGCTGAAACAACCAAAAAAGTCGTGCTCCATTTTCTTTCCACCCGGATTTTCCGGAAACGTTTTGTAAACAATAATCAAGCAAAGCCGCACCGTAATTTTTAGGGAGTTATTATAACTCCAAAAATGGAGTAAAAATTTTAGGTACAGGATAACCCCTTTTTTGGGGTTATTTTAACTCCTAATTTAACTCCGAATTTGGGGTCATTTTTACTCCTGAAAAAGAGTTCTTTTTACTCCCAGTCTGGAGTTAAAATTACTCCGAAATGGGGTTACTTGTACTCCTTACATGGGTTGTTTTTACTCTTTTTGGAGTTAATTTAACTCTGAAAGTGGAGTAAAAATTTTAGGTACAGGATAACTCCTTTTTTGGGGTTATTTTAACTCCTCAATATCTGGGGTCACTTTTACTCCTGAAAAAGAGTTCTTTAAACTCCTTTTTGGAGTTAAAATAACTCCACGAAAAATAACTCCACTGTAAGGAGTTAAATTAGCCCCACTAGAGGAGTTATTATAACTCCCTGAAAATTACAGTGCGGTGTCAGCCATAAAAAATTGTCATCGTGGGCCTGCCGAGCCATATCCTTGGGCGTAATAAGGCTTAGATTTTACTACCCTCTTGCGTTTTAATACCGTTGAAAAGACAATATACTCAATGTTGACACAATTCATCAGAGCTTTTAGTCTCAAAGAGAGTTTTTTTTTTTCGTGATACTTCAGTTCTGATAACGTTATTTAATTTTAATGCTGCTCGATATTTGTTCAGATTTCATAGACTCCGCAATAGTGGGGAACAGCAGAAATTACTCGAGGATTTTAAGAAGCTGGCTTTCCCCTGTGGCACGAAGCGTGAATTCCGCCTGGAAGCGCTGTTGGCGTGCATCTGTAGACGGCTGGGCTGCAAGTACATTTCACGCGAGATGTGATGGCAAGGGACCAACTGTAACAATAATAAGGGTCGGAAGGTATATTTTTGGGGGATACACCAGTGTTTCATGGGGTAAGTGGATATTATGAACAGGGATAATTTTACTACGGTTACTAGCTTTGTTATAAAGCTAAAAACAAAGTTATATATAAAGGAGTATGAAAATAACGCAGCCTTTGGATACACTGATAAAAAGCGTTGTTTTTATGGATCTTGTTCTAGCCTCGCTCCACCTCTTTCCTTTGCATCCCATCCCCATTCTCTCTCCAAGTGCGATGATATATTTAAAACATAGACTGAATATTTTCTGAAATGACAGTGTTGTTTGTAGACTAAATCATTCAAGGGTCCGGTCCAGTCGGTGACTCCCTGACAGTGCTTAGTCATGTAACTGAAGGCGCCTCAGTACTGTTTTCAATTTCTTACCTGTTTCATTCTCCAAATGACCGGTTCCAGTGACCATTTTTTTGTTGGTGATCGCCCATATTATGGCACTGACCTCTTTAGGGAGGTATTAAAAAGTCAATTTTTATCCCGTGTATTTGAGAGACAGAGAAAGGATTACAAATTTAGATGTAACTTTCAAATCAAAAGGAGTATTACAATGGAAAGATTAGAAATATATTTAAAAAACCTAAAATCGATGGAAAGAGGATAACCTGAGATCAGGCTCAATTTTCGTTTCGCTTTGTAATAACATTCCGGCGGGCAAGGCGAAACGAAAACAGAGCAGGCCCAATTTTAGCGGTAGCCGTTAGAGAGAATGTATGAGAACCGTTAACATCGGGCCTGATCTCAGGTTGGAAAGAGGTTTAGGGGCATTGCGAAATTAGTAGATTCAAACGAACTTTGGAAGGGTGAAAAATATAATTTAAATGACCACGGATTAAAAGGCTGAGCTCTAGAAAAAAGGAGTGGGGTTCTCAATCGCAATGGAGTAGGAGTCGTAATCGGAGACACAAGCGATAGGCACCTATAGTCTTGTAAACAACAAAAATCGAGGCCATTAGGGTGACGGATTCAGCTGACTCCTCACCGCGCCTACAACTTAGAAATTGTACATAAATGTAAATGGTGGTGAGGCATTTTCATCGGTTGTGCGTGTATTATTTCTTACATTTTGATAACTGTGATTGCAGAGTTAAGCGAGAGTTCCTTTGTTTTGTTTTGACAAATAAAAAATGTTAACTACAACTCAAACAAGTTTATTTAAGGAAAGTAAATATATCAACAAACATTTATTTCGTGTGTCACTCTCGGTACATGGCAATGGCAGATGGTTTCGCAAGTGAGTATCAGATAGGGATGGCGTCGCTAGTGACAGCTGGTTTTCCATTTCTTTTCTCTCTGACAGATTCCAGCAGTAAGTATCAGTACGACTCCAAAGCATTTCTGTTTTCACTGGTGAACAGGCCAGGATGGGCACCTGTTAAACTGCCTCAAACAGGAAGATATAGTTCTTCCAGAGCACATTCCGTACTTTTTGGTTCATCGTATGGACCCTCATTCGGTGCAGGACATGACATTTTTATTTCCAACTTCGCGTCATCCAATAGCAATTCATTCAGCAACCTTGGCTGGACTTACAGCCCACCGAGCGGGCATAGCTACAGCAGCACCTTCGCCAAAACATTCCTGGCAGGAACTTCCAGCTTCACTCCAGACGAAGTAGAAACCTTTTACGAGTCAAACTAAAAAAAAATTAAAAAATAACAATAGGCCGCGTCGATATTGATGTTAATTCCTATAGTCTGCAATGTAATTACGTCGTTAAAAAGAATTTACTTAAAACTTGTCCTGTATCAGTACGCGTAAGAAACGATAAAACGATAAAAAAAATACGACCTACAAACAAAGTAAAAGTCTTTTTCTATAGTGAAACCTAAAGCAAATATACCAGAACCGGTTCATCCAAAAAGAGCACGACCTATCCTTATATGTACTAAATGTCTTTTCACTGTTTAACCATTAAACACTCGCCACATGTTGGCCTCTGATTTCGTTCTTGATTTTTTTAAACAAAAGACAAAAGTTTACAAAAGAAATCAATAACTGAATCATACATTAAAAAATATATATTTGATAAAAAGCAAAAACTTCAAAACAAATTTGCAAAGGTTAAAAATGAAAACTAAGAGACAAAAAGAAAAATTGAACCCTATACTTCGTTTTTTAGTTTTGTATATCTGTCTCGAATTCTTCTAACCTCTTTCGTGTTTATATCAGGCTATGCAAACACGGAAAACGTCTTCTATTGCTTGAATATTTAGTGTAATCGAACTAGAGCCAATCACGATTACAAGCTCTATGTAAAAGTTGCCATCCTAAACTGCTACAAATATTCTTTCTTTGTACGGATCGTTATGCGTGGAATAACTTGCCTAAAGATGTTGTACACGCAGGATCGCTGACTATTAGTTGAGCAACAGATTAAGGATTTTTATGAATATTCATTGATTAATACGATGTAAATAGTTTCAATTATGATATGCAAATGATGTTTTTTATTCTAGTTTTAGGTTTTAGATTTTTCTCTCTGCAAATTTATAATGTTTTAGATTCTAGATTTTACCTTTTCATCTTTTATTTTGTCGAATCTTTTATTTAGGGTTAACCTCTAGATATCCCCTTTTGAGAGATATTTTGTAACTTTAGTTTTTCTTTCTTGAATAAAGTATTGTATTGTATTATAACATCATTGGCGGCTGTAATTCTAAGCCCCGTCCACTAATAGGTTTTCGTTTGAAAACGCATACATTTCGATTTCGTCCGTCCACACTACCGTTCCGAGCGTTTTCATCGAAAACACATCGATTTGAAAATTTGAAAATACTCTTGAAAGTGGACCAAAACGAAAACGCATTCACATCGTATTAGAGTGGAAGGTCGAAAACATCAAAAACGCATCAAAATGAAATCGATGACCAAAATATCGCAGGTGCTTTTGTTTGTAGCCATCCTCGGACACCCAGGGGCAGTCAGACGGGTTGGGAGTAAAGGCGCGACGAAAGTCATTTCAAGCACTGGCGAAAAAGCCCCTGGGCCCGGTTGCATAAAACCTGCACTTAAGTGCCCACTGAAGTAGGTCACTTACGAATCCGTTATGGGTACACTTACGGGTGTTGCATGGAACACACTTAGCACTCTCGTACGTTTCTGTTTTACGTGGTAACTTACGGGCTCACTTAAGGGTACACGTAACTTTGATATAGTACTTTTAATTATTAATTTGACTCGCTCTATTTTCTTAAATTAAGTTAACCATCGGTGAGTGTAAAGAAAGTGTCAAGTCGTTTCGAATTCTTTTTTAAGCCTCTCATTCAAATAAAGTTTACATGACATCGTTATTTTACTTCAATATCCACTAGAAATGTTTGTTGTTCTTCTTTTTTTCTTAACGACGGCTTTAAATTGTACATCATAGGTTAACGAAGCGCATTAGAACGGAATTACGTAAAGAAAAAACCTTTTTTTTGTTCACTTGTCAGTTAAAGATCTCGTTAACTTTGGTAAAAACAGTAAGGATACGGGACCTACATGGCTCGTAAATTTACGTGCTATTCTTCCCGTAAAAAAAGTTTTATTCAACACCCGCAATTTCTGTTGCATAAACGACACTTACGTGAACACTTACGAAAATCATAAGTGCAACTACTTAAGTGAATTCCCTAAGTGGACCACTTGAGTGATTTAATGCAACTCGATCACTTAAGTTACGAGTGCACGTACGTATACCTGTAGTTGTTACGGGCGTAATATGCAACCGGGCCCTGGGTACAGACTCTCACCGGACCTCTCTCCAAACGGTCAAGCGAATGCTAGCTCCTGATTGGGCACAAAAAATGCTTTGTATTATTGCGCCCAATCTGACAGCTGACAGCCACGAAAACGTCGCAGGAAAAGTGAATACACATTTTTCAGTCTCTATCGTGATTATTCCAACTCACTTACTTTGTCAAATGCAAGCGAACTCTTCTGGAGCTGAATTTCTATCAACCATATCCAAGTTTATAAAGAGAAACAAAAATTTCGTCATTGCTTGTTTACGTCCTCCACAAAACGTGAAATTGGGCATTATCACTTGGTAGTCGTGCAGTGACGGCAAAGAAATGTACAAAAAAGCGTGATGCACGTACAAAGTTGTTGTTTTGCCTTGTCAAGCTATTCCTTTTTTTGCCTTCTCGTCGCCGCTGCATCTTAAACTTCCTATTATTTACGATACATTGTGATCCGTCAGAAACAGAATTTTCTCAGTGCAAATTGAATTGCTCATGCTGATAGCCTCCGAAACGTTTTTCGACTCATCGGTAGTTCCTTCGTTTCTGGTTAGGAAAGCTTGGTGAACGAACCGGGCAACTGTGGCGAGATAATAGCCGTTGTGTACGAACTCACGAAAACAACTCAGGAGAAACTGTTCGCCCATTGGGCACAATAATACAAAGCATTTTTTGTGCCCAATCAGCGGGAGCCAGCATTCGCTTGACCTTTTGGAAATGGTCCGGTGAGAGTCGGTACCCAGGGTCTCTTCCGCCTATGCTTGAAAACTTTCGTCGCGCCTTTTCTCCCGGCCCGACTGACCGCCCCTGGGTCTCC